CCAATCTGCTTACGAAACTAATGGAAACACTCTTACTTCTACCATTACATCGAAATGATTTCAAATTAATGACCATCTGTCGAGGAATGAAAGAGGAACTTAGGTGGACCACTCTTCTCATTGTCTCATATCCACTAAATAAACTAATGGAAATGTCAAACGATTGTACCGCTATCAGCTTATAAAATTTACTGTTACAGCCTTACAGGGCAGAAAATTTAAATTAAATAACTAGGTATGAAATTCATCAATCAACTAATTTCAGTGGTAGGGAGCTCGACAAAAAGAGAATATCAATGACTGCAGGAAGCCGTAATTAACCTACTAACAAAGACTAAAGGGATTTGCAAAGAGTCACGTTAATGTGCCCAGTTTTGATCTGAACCACGAAAAGAAGGCAATCATCAGCAGGAAATTCTCGGTGGCTTAGAACTACGTATCCACGAAACAGGAAACTAGGCCTGGGATCTACTAACCCCATATAAAATCAAATCTATGAGCATCAGCTCAGTCCCACGGACCAATATCAGTATTGAGGCAATTAGAGAAGCTCGGAAACTTCCCAAACAGAGGCGGGGGCGCGCGCGGGAGGCGTACGGCGTCCAATGGGGCTCTATGAAGCTTGAAGCATCAGGCAGCGGCCCGCCCATACCCCACCAAAAAATAAACTATAGCTAATAAGACCTGTACAATCTCTGAATACAATGCCTTAGACCCTAGTGCTGCAGCCTGCAGGCACGGCAAAATTCAAACAAACCGATGCACATTTTTTCTATATGGTTCAGAAACAGACGCACTAGTGCACTGCAAATTCGCATGTGCCAAACAAAGTTGCAAACCCCCACTAAAACCGTACCACGCTCCCTGCGCCAATCGCAGCGAAGCGAAACCAACGGAATCCGAACCCCAAGCCACGCAAGTAACAAGCTGAGAAAACATTACGAAACCGCAGCGGAATCGGAACCCCAAGCCGCGCAAGCAACAACCGGAGCAAACATAACAAAACCGCAGCGGAATCCGAACCCCAAGCCGCGCAAGCAACAAGCGGAGCAAACATAGCCAAACCGCAGCGGAATGCAAACCCCAAGCCGCGCAAGCAACAAGCGGAGCAAACACAACCAAACTGCAACAACGAAACGGACCGCATGCATGCACAGCTACACTCAGCCAGGACATAGGAGAACGGGAGAAGCAGGGGAGCGGAGAATGGGATCACGCACCCTCGTAGCGGCTCGCCATCTGCGCGAGCTTCGCCTGGTAGACCAACTCCTCGAACTCCATGTCCGCAGGAGGCCCGGGTCGAGGAGTTGCTTGCTTTTGAGTGGGTTGTTAGTTGATCGAGAGCGAAAAATGCGGAGGCAGGGAGACGCAGGCAGAGTGGAAGGAGACGAGGGCCGGGACCGGTGGTATTTGTAACGGGAGCGGGAGGCTCCGCCGCGCGGTGAGACCCGAGCGTCAGATTGGAGGCTGATTGTTTTTTTTTTTCACGAGTTAATGAGTTATTATTGGACGGTACCTGTACGGTGGATGTGTTCTGCTATTTAAAAAATATATTTGGATTTTTTTCTAAAATTCTTAAATATTTTCAATTTAGTTCATGATTTTGTATCTTAATACAGCATGTAAAAGGAATAATTTAGGCTGATCACTTTGTTTTCAAATTATTTTTTTAGTGTTGTTTTTAGGAAGCCTATTCACTGTTTTTTTTTCTCTAAATCAATTCGGGGGAGAACCTCACCTGCTGCATTGAACGAAACATATAAATCCATATTCTTGTAAAAATATTTTAGATCCAGATTCTCCCAAGAAACGATTCAAACGGTGAATCAAAATCACTAGACCGTTTGGCTTGGAACCGTTTCTAGTAGAAATGTTTCACCTGTGTGTTGTTTGGCTTGGATTCCCTAGACTCACGTGAGAAACGGAACCATTTCAAGCGTCCGAACGCACCCTAAGTTACAACATGGTTCACGACATACTAGGAGAGTGTATTGTGTACAACAAGTTAAAGTTGCGTGGTAGCGTGTGGTTGGGAGACAAGGTGGAGTGAGATGGCCCTACCTTTAGTTTATAAAACGAAACAACCTTATTTTCTGTTTGGTTAAGAAGGGATGGGATTGATACGTTTTATGTCTGGTCTAGGGATATCAAAAGTAGGATCGGCTATTTGACAGGTGGGGCCCACGTGTCAGTCTCCTTTTTCTTCCTCCTCTCCTTATCCCTTCGTTCTCAACCGCTCGTGTGGAAGCCCTATGTTTGGTTTTGATAATCGAGTGAGAACTAATGCGCTAACCTTTTGCTAAGTATTGATTAAGCTAGGTTAAGTCCACACAAAGATGGTGAGCAAAGCTAGGAGTTAGATAAAGGGTGATCAATCCAAATGGACCAAGCTCATAATTGGAGAAAGATAAAGAGGTGGAAACAGGCCCGAAAGAAAGGGGTTTTGTTTTTGTTGTCAAGACGTAATAGAGAGCTACGTCCTATGAAGAGAGAAACTCTAAAAGCAAACATGGATGCCACTAGTTATTGATTTACATACATATGCATTAGACCTAGTGACATAGTGAGTTGCAGCAATAATGTTTTTTAAAACACTTTTATAAATGCTAACTCAGTGCTTAGATCTTTGGCAAAATATTTGGGAATTGGCACACTTGCATAGAGGGTGAGAAGAACTGCTGGTTCTGAATTTTACCCTTATGGGAGCTGTCCGGTGCACCACGGGACATGTGCACCGGAGATCACTAACTCAGGTTCGCTCAGGCACACATTGCCTTCCGGGGCATCATCAGACAGGGGCGGGTCCAGTGCAAGACCAGCTAGGCGCGAGAATTTCGAAGGGGCTCACCGGACTTGTAAGGTATGGCCACCGGACGTGGCACCGTACCAGAGGGGGTTGCAAGCAAGGTTTAGTCGCTGACGATCACCGACAGAGAGCAACGGCTAGTTTGCTAGACAGCACTTTGCCTATTCCTGTTGGTAAGGAGCTCATATCCATTGTGACCACAATGCAGCCATTGCCTATTGTGTATCTGAATGTCCATTTTATTTTTGCTTTTGATGAACTTATTATTTTCTTTTTTGAGAACTGCTAAAGTGAAGTCGCGGAACTATTGCATGTCACTGAATCTGTCTGCCGTTGAACATTTGTATCCTGAGGTCTGAAGGACATTCGTGTTTCTTCTTCGTTCCACATGATTCAAGCTTTACTATGTATTGTATGGGATAAATTGTTAAGCAAAATATTTTCATTGTATCAGTATTATATAAGCTGCCTGTCTCATTGACCATTAACACGCAGCAGCAGCTACTGAGTTGAGAGTGGGAGATTCAATGCACCATGACTGAGTGGTAGATAATTCTTAGTAGATTCAATCACATCTCAATGGAAGAAATGCAGGTGTTGATGATTTTTACTCTAGATCGATCAACGATTTGCCTATTCCTGTTGTTAAGGAGCTCATCTCCATTGTGACCACAATGCATCCATTGCCTATTCTGTATCCATAGCGAATCAACGAACTCAAACTGGCTAATAAGGAGCCTTCCAAGTGGGACTGGGACCAGCTTCTCGCAGGCAGCTCACTTCTGAATAAATATTGGGAACGTCCAGACGTCCGATTGAATATTGATCCGTCTTACGGTACCATGGATCGGACCGATTTGTTTACTCGGCACGTGCCTGCACTCCACGCCCTCCGCTCGTGCCTACTTTTCACACGCCCACCTGGGCCCGGCCCGTGGGGACCGCTGGCAACTTGCGCCCCACCGCTCCTCGCGTCCGGATGGACGGCCGCGCAGCCTGCCCCCGCCTCACATGCGCACCCTACCCTTGTCACTGTGCCCTGTTCCTTCCCTCAGACCCCCTCCTCTCTCTCCGTGTGGGCAGGACTCGGGAGCCGGCCCCCAGCTCACCGCTCCCCGTCCGTCCGTGCCCAGCTCTATCGCACCCCATCCCCCGACGCCTGGGCCATGCGCCATCACTCACCAGGCCCCCCATGAAATACTTGCAACATGAAACATTTGGATCCAACATACGTCGGACATAGATACAACATTTGAAACATATTGTTGCAACATATGTGTGAATCATATGCAACATCCAGATAAAACACTTGCAGCATGTGTATGAAACATATGCAGCATCCAAATAAAACATTTACAACATATGTATGAAACATATACAACATCCTGATAAAAAACTTGCAACATACGCCTAAAAACATTTTTTTTGAATCACCTAAAAACATTTTTTTCAAAACACTTGCAACATCACACTGAAAACACATGCAAAAATATACAACATGTGCAACATCCGGATCTACTTTTACAACATTCATATATAACAATTACAACATAACTCTGAAAACATCTGAAACACTTAAAACATATATTTACAACATAGGACAAAGAAAGGATGGGGGCAATCGATTCTGATCATCGGGGTGGAATCCGGCAACGAGCAGCACCACCACCACCAGCCCCAGCCATAGCTCAGCCTGGCAGGCAATGCGACACACGGCCAAAGCGAGGTTCGGATGGGGGGCGCGCGACGGCACAGGAGCAAGGAGCGAGCAGCGCAAGGTCAGGGGCACGGTGGGAGAACGCCGCAACACGCAAAGTGAGGCGCAACATCTGAATGAGAATAAGAGACATGAAAATAAGTATGAAATATAAAAAAGACAAAGTTGTGATACACGTCACACCATACGCCCGGAGGGAGTCACTAGCATCAGACATCCTGTTTGTAGCATTGCCGATAAACATTAGTACTTGCCAGATGCTACGAAATTGTAGTTCAGAAAAAGCTCCCCTCTCGGCAAGGCGATAAGCCGATAACCATACAACCTACTGTACTGTCCCAGAGGACAAGAGATATGATAGACATCCCGACACGCTCAAACTGGCTCTCAGAACCATCACTTGCATGCTGGTAAAATCAGATCACACCTAAAGCTTCAGACAATGTTCGGCATAGGGCAAGAAGGTTGGCAGCAGCATCATTTGTCCTTCTTGGCCCTTTTGCTCTCCAGCCTCTGCCGCGCCCGCTTAAACTCCTCTTCCGTGGGCTCCGAGCTGCTCGCCTTGGAGTCGCACTTGGACATGATGTTCGAGAGGATGGAATTGAACTGGTTTTTCCGCTCAGCCCTGCGCTGTGAGATGGCCAGGATCAGATCATTCTCCTCACTATTCTTCCTGTTCCTGACATGGGGTTCAGAACAACAGTCAGTTGGAAACAAGAAAATGGTAGCAAAATGCAACACCTAAGGGAAGCAAATGACAGGTGACTTTCTCTCTCTCTCTCTCTCTCTGTGAAGGGGGGGGGGCTCAAAAACTTACTTCACTCTCCTCTCTAACGGATTCGTTGGCGGCTCCATCTCTGAGATCTTTTTAGCCCATTTCTCATACGCCTTAGTTGACTTCAGCTCACCTGGTATTGAAAGGAATGACAGGTGCTTTCAGAAACAGATATTTCCGTGAACAGGTTCAGTAACATGCATAACCAGGGCAGTAGCTGGCACTACTGTATAAATGAAACTGAGTCAAATCTTTTCAAACAGCAGTGACTGCAACCATGTACCTTCAGCAATTGCCTCATCAATTATATCCTTGAAGCGGTGGGAGTCAAGCTTTGGTTCCGAGCAAATCATTGAGCAGAAAAGCCTAGATAGAAGGGAACAATGTCAATATAGAAATTAAAACAAGCCTGTTGGACCAGTTTACAACTTTCAGGATAAAGGTTTGATCAAAATAAAAGGAAATTAAAATTCAAAGGAATCACCTGTTCATGTTGCCCTTATATTTTGTGTAGAGTTCCTTCAAGTCCTTTTTCTCAGAATCTGACCCTCTGTATTTAGCTTCAAATTCTTCAATGTCAGCCTCGGTGACCTGGGAAAAAATATTAAAATAAACTGAGTACTTTTATAAATAATAATATACTGCCTCTGTCACTAAAATAATGCCATTCTGGCTATACACCTGAACAAGAGCCAGAATGACATTCTTTTAGAGACAGAGCCATGGAGGTAGTATTATCCTACAGCAAAGTTTTCCCTACTGTATTTCCCTAAAAAATATCATTGTAAATTAATAGACAACATTAGCCTGCGATTGACATAGAAGCAAACATACCTTCTTGTACATTGTTCTGAAGTACTCCTGAAGATTGTCTGCAGCTGCTCCCACCAGTGCCTAAGATGAAAAGTTAGATTCAGAAAAATATTGCTTGAATCTGAAAGGTAGAACTGGAGTGCTATAAATGAGGTGCGCACATCATCATCAGTGATGCCAGTCTCATCATATAAAGCTCTTTTCTCTGCATCACCAAGAATGGATATAACCTTCTGCAGATGCTGAAACTTCTCATTGGCTTCCTGGCAGCACATAACATTTGAGATACATTGCACTAAATGACTGTAGAAAAACATTCATGCTTTAGGGTTGAGATCCTACCTCATCCCCAGGATTCTTATCTGGGTGGAGGCGCAGAGCCAATTTGTGATATGCCTTCTTTATTTCTTGTTGTGAAGCAGTCTTCTCAACTCCCAGGATCTTCAAATGATGAAAGAAAAATAAACAAGACATTAAATTAATAAATTGTGATCAGGAAAGAGAACCTGAAAGTGATTCGTGACAACATGTTTAGAACAGTTCAGACCTTTGTCTCATCTGCAGTTATTTACATGACCTGCCTTAAACAAGGAAACAAAATAATTTCCAGCAATTAAGAGTTGTTCCAGACCTTTCCACAAGTATATCTAACACTATCATATTTTTTAACCAGACTTTCAATGCTTAGTTTCATTAAGTGCGATCAAAGTAGTGAGCAACAATTCACTACAGTTCTGCAGTGACAGCATAGGCCAAAGAAAAACTGGAATGGATGCCATTTAGCTTTAAAGAATACAGCAAAGATGCAACCCAAAAAAATCACAGGGCTGCCAAAGAAAGGTTGCCTATTATTATGTATTAACATAAAATGGTAATCATCGTTGATTCACTGAATCAGCATTGGAATATAGTCATCCAAGACACAGTGATCTGTACACATTCAGGCATATAATTGTTTAACAATTCTGAAACTTCTTGTAGCAATTGTTTTTTGAAGGTCTACTGATTTTATTTCATTATCTGTGGGTTGGCGTTCCCAATACAGAGTTTTGTAGAGAAGATTTTACACAACAGGGACGATGAGCACTTGTTGAGTAAATAAACAAATAGACCAGGACAAGTTCCTTCCACCAAAGCAGGATACCAGATACAGGTCCAGGACAATCATGCTACCAAAGAGTCAACCAAGGCATGACAAAATTGATAGGATGCAGACGAAAATTCAGTGATCAAACATATTAACTCTCTTCTGTCACTCCTACAACTCCCCTAGACATGAATGTGACTTGTAATCATTCAGTGACTTTGCTGAATCCTGAATGCTTGAGCATTCATTTCAATTTAGCAGTTACAATTGTAGGATTCGATTCATTTTCACATGACGAAATGGCATCCCGACAGAATCAGGAGACATATGTACCATGTCAAGTGCGCAACCAATTGCATCTGAGAAAAAAGAAAACTAGAGGGAAGCAGATCAGCATTTTTGCAATTCGCAAACACTACTGTCCCAAGTCCTTGCTCTTCTTACATGCTCTCACCACCACAAGCAGATCCGAAGGACATCATCCACCAAATTAATGAGCAATCATAACCCAAACACTAACACCAAACAAAACTAATCCGAAGCCATCTAACCGGACAAGCAAAAGGGGCAATCGCTCACCCTCGAACCCTACACCTCCCGCCTGCACACGATTCGAGCGCCGCACCCAACCCCAACCCAGCACGCAACCTTCGGCCTCGCACTTTGGCCGAGATACCAGATAGGGGTCTGGTTTCGGGGGCGCCTTACCTCGTAGAGGCTCTTGCCCGCAGTGGCGGCAGGAGCGGCGGCCCTCTCATCCTCGCTGCCATCGGCATCGGCGTCGGCGTCGCGCGAAACCCTAGCCTTGCGGCCCTTGCGGCCCATTTGTAAGGAAGCGCTGAACTGGTGGCTATGGTGGTGGTGGTGGGGACTGGGAAAGAGGAATGAAGATCCGGGGTGATTGGGATTTTATACAGGGGAGAGCGGCGGGAGCGCGCGGAAAAATTTCCCGCCCTTTTGAGTGTGCGCGCCGGGAAGGAATTTGGCGGCGTCTCGTCGAAGAGCCATGAACGGGACGGGATCCGAGTTAGGTTTGCCATGGCGCCTGTCCGTATTTTCCAATTTTTGATAAAATGCATATTACTCCCTCGTTATTTTTTACAACTCACTTTGTCCTAAGTCAAACGCTATTATCTTTGGCCAACTATTTTAAAAAAAATTCTATAATTTCACAACATATAAATTATATATTATAAAAATATTTCCCCTAGTGAATCTATAAAAACGTAAATCTTATGGCATAAATCTGTATAAATTACTTGAAATCGATAGTCAAAGATATAAATATTTGACTTAGAACGAAGATAATACGATCAACATATATGGCCCCGTTCGCTGGTCTGAAACTTGGCTGAAACTGGTTGAAAAATACTATTCCGGCTGAATTGTTGGGAGAGAAAAACACTGTTCCAACTGAAAAAAGAAGCCAAACAAGTCGAATATGGGGTAAGCCAAACAGGACCATGATGAAAACCGGAGAGAATACTAGCAAATATATTGTATACTCCGTCTCTGTCCTAAAACTAAACGCACATTGCGCCTCGAGAAATCAAACTTTTTTTAGTTTTGACTATAGATGGCCAATGGGCCGGGCCGTGCCAGGCATGACCCGAAGGGAGTCGGGCCGGCATGGTACACCGTGCCACGCGGGCCGTGCCGAGGCGGGCGTCGTGTCTAGCCAACAGCCCAGGCACGGCCTGTGAGGCAGAATCGTCCGAAATAACACGTTTTCGAAGACGCTCGTCTTCCAATAAACACTAAGCACCTTGAAAGTAAGCTACATCGGTTAGTTCCGTCGAGCACACCGTAAGAGAGAACTCGAAACAATCCATATTTTACATCCAGAATCCAATAATGAGTACGAGTTTACAATACTTAGTCCATTTCATACAACCAGAGTTCTTGGAAATTATTTATTACAATACCAGAGTTCAGAGTGCGATAATTAAACAGCGGAATGAAAATAAACATCTAGCGAAAACGATACAAGGATCCGTCTGTGCCCACCAGAAGAATCATCCACACAAGAGCTACTTCTCAAGCTGCACCTGTAATATGGGTAAAATAAAACCTAGGTACACAATGTACTCGCAAGACTTACCTGATTAGTGGGAATAGTTTCCCGACTTCAAAGAGTATGATAGGCAATATGTGTTTACTGTTTTCTTTTTTGTTTGCGGAAAGCATTACTAATAGTTCATCCATACGATCAAGTTTTATTAGCAGTCATGATTACTTCATTAGCTAATCATTCTAGGTAAGCACATGTTCTACTTTCAAGCAAGGGTTAAGCAATCAGAACCATTTCACCATCTTTTATCTACCGGTTCTTACTACGATGCTAGACTATAGACAAGTCGTACCGTCTCATAGAAACAACGATTCACGAACCAATGTATCCTAGCTGGGTATCTCGAAACACACGCCCTATTTGTACCTCAGACACAAACAAGACCAAACCATTCTACTCATGTCACGGGATCTAGGTCCCCGTCCAAACTTGGACTCCAAGCCCTCACACTTGAGACCTAGTCTCAATATGGTGTTTAGACCTTTATCTTTTCCCGCCTCTAATCAGTCGGTCTAGAAAGAGCTGGAACCCATGATAAGAGCGTAACGAGCTTTCCTGCTCCCATAAGCAAGTATGTGCTCAGGATAATAAGTCTGTGACCTGACTACCATCCACAACAACAGGCGGTTCTTAATCGACACGGACAGAGAAAATAGTGTAACCAAGCTAAACCCCGTTGGCCACGGGACACAACTTGTTACACCCACCAATACACATACCATATCCCTACCCTGTCTCTATTTTTCCTTTCACTCTTTTTATCATGAGAGTAATTATAATAATCACCTATTGTTAGTAACAGCAGATTACTCACGCTATCGAAACCCTAAGCATAGCAGCTACTCGAACCTGCACTAGTAAGACTCTTAGGACAGATATATCTATGTATGTAGTTTTCATAAAATTCCTGTAACGTAAATGCACATAACATATATAAAACAGGGATTATAAAAAATAAGGGGTTATGTATCAGGGCTTGCCTTGGGCAAGCGCGGTGTCAGCTGAGTCAGTCAGTGGCGGCTTTGGGACCTCCTCCTACGAGAATCTCTAACTCGTACTCCTCGACGATCTCCTCGAACGCGTTCTCTATATGCATGCGATGATGATGTAACATTTAACATTTAAGCAACAACTATTAAACTAAGAATACGCATACTAAGCTACTAAGCTAGCTCTGATGACTAAGATACTAAGCTAACTATCATCTTCATCAAGCAAGGTGTTGGATTCAACTAACAAACCCTTTAGCTTGATAAATTAAAGATATATATCTTTATTTCTACTAATAATTTAATATATATTGAAACAAAGAGCATTTAACTATCCTAATGTTTAGTCTATTCTAAAGGTACAAAAATTACAGTGAGCACATAATAATACAATGAAGCTAATATAAAAATTTTAGGACTAAAGCTATCACCAATTTACCATAAAAATTCATACAATATTTAACCTAATAATATTGAGCACTCTCAAATGATTTAATAGCTCCTGGTATCAACATGTACATATATGAACTAAATACACTAACAGATAGAGCATAATTTTAGAAATCTAACAAAATTTGTTTCGCAATTTTTGGACACCTACATGATTTTATATGATTTACTAAAGATCAGCTCAAAAATTAAATTAGAAAACTATTTCTAATTCCTTATGAAAAAGAAAAATGAATTCTCCCGCGCGGCCCACACGCGCGGCCTGTGTGACACAGCACGCGCGCAGCGGCCCACATGAGGCTGGCCCTCTCGCGAAACAGCCCGTAGTGGGGAAATCCCACGACCGTCGTTTTTGCAAAATAGACCTCGCACTTCTCCCGAATTACAACTAAGTCCTAACGCTATTTCTCCCTCTTTTAAACCTTCTCACTTAACCCCTTGGCATTTCCCCAATTCACCCGTGTGCACCCCTTGGTAGCTCAGTGCACAGCGGCACGACGACAATGACACGACACGACCATGCTGGCCACCAGAGGCTTGCGCTAGCCCGTCGGTCGGGCAGACCTTTAACTACGGTCCAACCATCTACACCAAGCAGCAACGCGGGCGGCAGAACACGTTGGAGCGAGTGCAGCGATGTGCGACCGTCTACGACGATGGTGCAGCTGCCCCAATGATCCAGAGCACCTAAGAACCTAACTGGCTAGCGAGGGAGCATCAGTAGACTATCGTGGACCTAACCGAGGTGACAGTTGGGGTGGAGGATAGCGGAGAAGGGCTAGCCACGTGCGACCGAGCCATGCGGCGGCGCACCGTGGCGGCACGGTCGCGTCAGCAACGACAGGGAGGCGGTAGCGATTCCGCTGACGTGCGCAAGGTTGAAAGGGAGACAAGTCGAAGCTAGTGATGCAAGTGAATTGGCTCGGGAGGGACGGTAGGAGGGCTGCCCACATCCACGGCCGGATGTGGCCTTATCGGCACAACGGCGGGGAAACTCTAAAATTGGAGCTTGGCCATGCACGCTTTAAGGCTGGGTGGGGTCAGGCAATAAGAGGACGTGATGGTGAAGCCATGGATGCAATGAATGGAGGTGATCGCTCACTAGGTAATTGGATGGTGTGGCTCGTGGCGGCAGCAGAGGGAGAAAGAGAGAAAGAGAGACGGGGCGCGACAGGTTGGCTCGGCTCGGCCTCGCCTTGGCGGGATGCGGTCGGCGTGATCGTGGAGGCCCATGCGCAGGCGCTAGCAGACAGGCACGCGTGTTTGCGACCGGCGTGGCCCGCGCGCCGTAGTGCCATCAATGACAAGGCGACTGCGAGCCCGACCACGTGCGCGCGGCAGAGGCGGCATCGCACTGGGCCAGCAACGGCGGCAGAGATGCAAAGAGAGGCACGGACATGATGGTGAGGCGACGGCACCGGCAATAGCTGTGCCGTGGCGCGGGGTGGGTCGGCAGTGCGGCAGCACGGTGGGGCCAGCGGCAGCACCGCCCGGTTGTGTAAGAAGCAGCAGCGGCTCCGCGCGCTAGGAGCCAGCAGTGGCCAGGCCATAGCCAGGCCAGAGCAGCCATGGCCGGTCACGCGTGGAATAGCTAGCGTGGCGACGCCGAACGCCCGAGCGTGATGACCGCGCCCACACGGCCAACCAGCCCGAGATCGAGTCGTGCACGAATTTTAAAGCACCCAAAACAACTAAACGGTTGCTTCAGGAGCTAAACCATCTTCACCATGCTCAAGATAGCATATGAGGCTACTAAACCGAGCTAAATCTTAACACTTTTTCTTAACCCGATTTCGCAAAATAAATTATCAAATATGGCATTGTCGTGCTGTCTATGAACTTGAAAATATTCTAAGTCTTTGAGCTGAACTTGATTTCAATTTGTAATTTTTAGGCTAGTAAAAATATTAGTTAGTAATATTATTTTTCAACATCAAGTATTTCACTGTTATTTACAAAGTTCAAATTCCAAACTTTATTTAAGCGCCACATATATGTTCTATAGCATTTTTATTCAATAAAAAATTGTTTTAAACCCTACTTGATATATATGAGCTATTGAATCAACTTTCGTTTAACATTTTTATTAGTCATTTTAGGTTACAAGAAATTGACCTACACACTTTATCACATGCACTAACACATAAACATGATGCTCATGACATATTTTAATAAATGATTTAGGGTGTAACATCGAGGGTATTACAGCCTACTGCCCATTTTTTGGGTAGGGCCGGCCCGAGAAGCACGGGCCATCTAGTGTGCCAGGCCAGCCCGAGGCCCACAGAGGGAAGGGGAGAGCAGGAGGTAGGAAA